AATTAAATAAAATAAAGTTTTTGTTGCAGGAATTGTTAATGAAAAAAATTATATAAAGCAGGCTATTACCAAATCAATTTTAATTTATGATGTTAAATAAATTGTTACATCAAATGATTAATAAATCAATTAGTTTTACAGATTTTCTGTATACTATATACTGTATACTGTATGAGTGTAACCCAGCATTCATTGCTGAAACGTGTGGCATGAGTAAGGCTCGAACAGGCTCAAATGTTTCGCTCTTTACTGTATTACAGTGAGTGATGGGCTGGACGTGAGACCGAAATACAGTGGAATTCTGCACTGCATGAAAAGCGTCTGGCAGCAGGAGGGTCTCCGGGGCCTTTATCAAGGTGTCACTCCAAATATCTGGGGAGCTGGAGCGTCATGGGGGCTTTACTTTTTCTTGTATGTATTTTTCTACCTGTAATGCATCCTGTATGCACGGTGTACATTTTTGCATTATGTAAGGAGCTGTGCCTTTGTGTAAATAATACATGCTTAAGTTTTACTCTTAGGTGCAATAGTTTTCAGTAATTTAACAGTCCAGAATCAGTTAGGTGTTTAGATATAAACATCACTTGAGTAATATATATTTTTACAAATTTGTATTTGTAGCTACAATGCAATCAAAGCGTACAACAAGGAGGGCAGACAGACAGAGCTGAGTGCCGTTGAGCATCTGCTGTCAGCAGCAGGAGCAGGTCAGTATCACCACAGACACGCTAATCACATCAATCTCACCAAAGCTGTCAAGAACATGACCGTGTCATTTGCACCCCAAAATCACAAGAAGGAAATATTATTACTATTATTAATACATTTTACTTAAATAAAATGAACCCTATTTTAGGACTTTTAAGGCTTTGTTTTCTTGTGTTGTCATTATTTTCATGACAGTTTAGCAAAATTTTTCTGTCCATTTTTTTCAATTACTTTTTGTAATATATAGATATATATAAAATACATAATTGTTTACCAAAATAGGCTTCAGCACTCTCACTCTCTCTATATATATACACACACACACGTGTCATTTTCACCTCAGCATCACAAGAAAGAAATATTATTATTGATCATATAATTTTAATTATATATTGCTTAAATAAAATGAATCCTCTTTTAGAATCATTAAGTTGTTTTTTTTGCATTGAAACATTGCTTAGCACATTTTTCTGCCCATTTTCTTACTACTGTTGCGTAAAAGAAATCCATATTACAATATGTACCAAAATAGGCTTCAACTCAAAATCAAAGAAAATACAAATAATTATATATAGATTTTGAGTTGAAATATGAGCAGCATGTGGAATTGAATTGCAATAAATGCTTATGTAGTTGTGAGAAATAAACTAAATTAAAACGAACTAAAGTCTACTGATGGCACGAAAAAATTCTTGAGTGTGTTTACTAACACGAGAGCTCACCTTCGCTTCAATTTCCTCTGTTTTCCTGTGTATCGCTCATTTATTTTCTCCCATCAGTCAAAATGATAAAGATTCTGGCAAAGTGAATTTCAACACATGCCTTTCTAATCAGTGCTGACAGAAAAACTGGAGCATAACGAATGAGGCACAGCTCCAATATTGACTGGTTGTTTTTAAGTCTGAAAGACATCAACTCTCGAGCGCTGTAGATCAGTGCTTCTCTGCTGGTGGGCCGTGATTTCTTATTTTTTTGCATGTTTGTCACACTTTAATGTTTC